TATTAAATAAATAAAAAATAAATACTATCAATAGATAATATATAATTAAAATTAATATTATATAAATTTTTAGAAAAATAAAATATAGGCTATTATAATATAATAACAAATATTAATATAATAAAATATATAATTTTAAATAGAAATAAAAACCAATATTCTTTATTTTTTCATATAAACTTTATTTGTAATACAATATTTAATTTTTATTTATGGGATTAAATATTTTGTAACTAAACTTTATTTGATTATAATAAATAGTAACAATAATATTTTACTTGAAACAGATAGCAAATAACCAATTCTAGTTAGAAATTTTTCAAATTAAATAAAGATTATCAAGAAGGTATAAGAAGTTTAAGTCAATTACAAACATATATAATATAAAAATCATAATAGTATACAAATAAGTTTTTTTTTAAAATAATAATTGGTTTTTTTTTTTGTAATTTCACAATCATATATTGTAGATTTAAAGAAATTTATAGTAAATTAGTATAAAATCTGTATATAAATATATATACTTTTCTCTTATTTTTTTTTTTAAAAAAATTTTAATAGATTTAATTAGAATTAATGAAATATATCTAGTCTGTAATAATTTTGTTCAGATGATCTTCTAAGTTTCTGTTTATCAAATAACAAATAAGAACTTAGAGGCATATATTCTGGCAAGTTATTTTTTTACATATACTATTAGAGCTTTAGCATTAATAATATAAAGAACATAAAGAACAAAAGATCAACTATAAATAGTTTTTTCTATTTTAGATAATTTAAAAAATAGATAAAGTCATACTTTGTACTACATTTATGTAAGTTGTAAGTGCTCAATACAATATTCAATAAACAAGGTGTATGCCAGTTGTTAAAAAAAAAAAGTAAATATTAATTGAAGAAATAATTATAATAATTTAAAAAACCATTTAAATTAAAATATCTTTGTAAATAGTTTATTCATACAGTATATATCTTTATTTAATCAAAAATCGAAAACATATTTGAATTATATTTTTTATTTCTAATTTAAAAATCCTATTTTTATTTACGTATATGTACAGTAAAGAATATATTATTTAAAATATAATTTAAATATTTAATTAAAAAACTTATATTTTTAATAAAAATATTTTCTTTTATTTTTGCAATCAATTCATTTGGCTAGCAAATCGTTAACATTTCCTATTGACTTCGAAAAAAATGAAAATTTATAAACAATAAAATAAAATAAAACCAGGTTATTTATTAATAGAAGTACACTATGTATAGCATGAATGCAATGCAAATAACATTTATAAATATAAAGATGATTAGGTGAAAAAATAATACAAGAAAAATTGTTCGAAGGACAATGAATTAAATGGTGAGTTATTTACAAAATGGTAGTTTGAAATTTAAGATTTCGTTATACTAATGGAATTCCGAAGGTAATCATGGAATTTTCAAAAAAATTCATGTTCTTCCTAAACGAACTTTCAAAAATTCATATGTAAATAGTGAAATTCTTAACACAAATAAAGGAAGCCAGTTTTTGTGTTGCGAAGTGGATCATGTAATGCTTTTTGTAGATATTATGTTTGTGTGCTTGTGATTTCTGAATGTCGATATAAATTCGTGCGAAGACATATTAATTATTTGCATAATTCTTGGGTTGTTTTTGGTAATGTTAAAAGATGGTGTGTAAATAAATACACATGGCAAAAATGTCAAAATAAAAAGGTTTCTTACTCCGAATTAAAAAAAAAATAATTTTTTTTTAACGCATAGATGGTGTATATTAAAGATGCATAGAAAAGTTAATCGAGATCATCAAGGATGTGGGTAATTAATGGTGTTAAAAACCAAATTATTAATAAGTAAGATAGCAATCTATATCACATCTCATCTGAAATGCGGACGTCCGAGAAATTTAGACGAAGCAAGCTTTTCATGAATTGAGGAATGCAGTTTGCTGGGACCACACTTTCGATGAGTTCTTACCGTGTTAGATTGATTTACCTGCAGTCGAAGTTCAAGAATTAGAGAGTTGCACGGCATCTAATAATCACCTAAAATTATAAAAATACATACCATAGCGGCTTTCCTGATTTCATATAAAAATCCTCTTTGAAAATTGCTATCCTTTAATCCAAATCTTTGTTCATTACTAATACTTCTAATAGCTGGATACCAATGATTCATCTCTTTCCGATGTTGTCTTTCCGATGCCACTAAAGATTTAAGAAACCCTTTCGACATCTCAAATTCTGATCCAACCTGAAATTCGTTGCCATTCAATTCCGTGTCTTTGTCCTCGTCACTGCTGCTGAAATTTCTTTGTCCCTTCTTACCCTTAACTATGTTTTCGTCATCACTAAATGCTTGTAGTGGCAAGGACAACTCCTTGTCGTGATCATTTCCATCCATTGTAGATCCATCAATTGTATGATATTTGATCGGTATATTATCCTCATCGCAGTCGGATTCAAAGTCAAACAATGCCAAGCATTCTTCTTCGGAACTAGCCTCGTCCTTGTGGAACCAACACATCTTCTTTGGATCGAAGACCATATCACCTACGACCTGTAGGGACTTTGTGTTGGTTGAGGGGCCCATGTTTGTTATAAGGCCTGGTCGAGCTTGTGATAATTCAAAATCCTTCAATGCCGATTCATTGCCATCCCATCTTTGTAAAATTGGATCATAAACCATTTCACCAACCACTGTATCATAGAATTCAAGATAGATGTAAGGATTTATTTCAGGTGCTTATGAGAAAATTGTTTATTGATAAGACACCAACCTTTTACATTATTTTCGGCGTTTAAATTTCGAATTAATTGCGGCTTTTTCCGTTTATAGCCCTAGCGTCCATTATTAAGCAAAATATTAGATAAAGGAATGACATTAAACGAAGGAATGCGTTATCATTACCTTTTTGGTGGAGGAACATTTCCCTGCTTCTGATGAACTCTTAGTAGACGATTTCGAACATGTGGAAGAAACACTATTCTTTCGGTCATTTAAATTCGATAGGTTTCGAAATACCGATTCTTTAACATCTAGAACGAATATGAAACGATCAATAAAAGGGTAAAAACGAAAGGTGAAGTGAATGTAAACGCAAATATGGTTACACATATACATACCACTACCATTTTTACTATTGTTGACCACACCAGATACCGGCGGTACAGGATAAACCCTAAAATCTCGTTCCTTTTCCAAACAAACGGGTAAATCATCAAATCCATCTAATTCCGTACCATCACCATAAATCTTTGATTGATTTTGCATATACGTTAATGGTAAATTCCCGCAGGAGTTATTAAAAAACCCAATCACAGCTTTGCTTTTAGTGACATTCGGAGAAGTTGGACGATCAACGATATCGGTTGTCAATGACAATTTCTTGTAAGGCTTAGATGGTTTACTGTTAGCGGTATTTTTTTTGGTAACCGGCGATGTTCTTGTTGACGTTAAACTCAAAGGCTTTATGTTCGTGGATGAGGAGGAAGGCGACGTTTTGGAATTTTTCGTCGAGAACTTTGACGAAAGAGAAACTAACCTCGCAGATTTTTTAGATGAATCACAATGTACAGACTTAGTGCCTATCCTCGAATCCTTCTTGTGCATTAAGGTCGGTGAATTGAGATTTTCCTTTATACTACCAGCGGTGACATTGGCACTCGAATTCAATTTTTTTGATGAGCGCGTTTTTGCCAATAGGTTAGATGTCACCAAAGACTTTTCTTTCCCCTTGGGCGTCGACGGAGATCCCGATGCCTTTAGTAGGAGAGGACTCTTTGATGCGGTGGCGTTTGACTTGTATCCGTGCGATGAAGAAGTTGTCGATGGAATTTTTGCCGATACTACGATCTCTCTCTTTGGATGAGATGTCACTTTTTTAGAAGGCGATGCAGTAGATGATGCCACGGAATTTTTGAGTGCCACCTGTTTCTTCGTCGGACCGCTCGGTGATGAACTGACATTACAACCATCTAATTCAATTTTGGAATTGGCACTATCAGAACTCTTCAGAGAAGAATTAGTTGATCGAAGATTTTCAATAATGATGGACGAGCAATCCATTCGTGGAGGATCCGAATTAAGATTTGATGTATTCTCAGTGACCAACTGCATCGACGAAGGTGGCGAAAATTCGATAGTAAATGATTCTCTTCTTGGTCTCTTCTGTTGTATGGGAAGAGTTCGAGGTACAATGTTTTTATGTTTTGATTCAAAAACATTGTCATCTTGCACTTCCAACCCAGACCAATCATCGTTATCGTCATCAAATAACCGATAGTCCTTGGTGTCCGAGTTCTGAAAATCAAGACCCTCATCCTTCATCCTTATTTGTGAATGTGTTGAATCTGAAGGTGGAAGAAGTTTAAGAGCGCCCAAATATTCTGGAAACTGGATGTCATCAAATCCTTCATCCTCACTCTGAGGGCCACTTGGAGCAGGACTTGGGAGCGAACTTAGCATAGAAGAATTCCTAGAATGCATTCCGGTCCTCGTACTGGCACTCTCTGAATCAAACATGTCTGCATTTTCTTCACACCCTTCTCTACCATTCGAATGTACTTTCAATGCATCCTTTGAAAGATCAAGCTTATCAACATCTACATCCAACAGATCAAAATCTTGATCAAAGCTTTCAACAACCTTTTCACTTTTAAACATTGAGGAAACTCTGGCAGGTTCATCGACCCTCTTGATCATAATATTTCGATTTTGAATTTTCGGTAAATAAGATTCGTTATGATCTAAATCTTGAATTTCTTCATCCCAATTATCAAAATTTTCACAATCATCATTACCCATTACAATCCTACCGGTTTTATCGGATTTGGCAAGATTACTTAAGGACAATCCAATTTCGGGTATTTCTATGTCGTTATCCCAGTCGCTCATGTCTACAACTTTTTTCGATTCATCGCCTAATCTCGTTATGGTACCAGTGAATTCCTTGTCACTATTTAACGTCGATTTTGACACAGTAAAATTTGCTAAACCGGATACACAAAAGATTGATTTTACTGCCTTAACGCCCTCCTTAACAATTCTTCGTTGTTTCGACGCGGTTGAGGTGGTATTCGTTTTTGTTATCGGATGTGAATTGAATTCACCGGAAACACCAACGCGAATCTTAGCATCACCGCCGAAACCGATAGTATTATGATTTTTTGTATTCTTTAAAGGGTGACTAACGTAAGATGATTTTTTTGGAGATGTAGGTGAACTTATTATGGTGGTGATCGGTAAACCTCTGTCATTTTTCACGTGGTAATCTTCGTCCATCTCCTTTCTCTCTTCGTCATCACTATCAACTATCATTTTATCGAGACCATCTTGTGCGATTAGACCTGAAAAGGGAATCTCTATGTCATCCCAATTCTCCTCGTCAGTTTCCATTTCCATCACAGGCAATCTTGCGAATTGAGATTGAGAATCCGTAAGGTTGCTGAAAGTTGGCATTCTATTTATATGGTATTGTAGAATGGAGTGATTTTTTTTCACCGAGGTACTTTTTTATATCGTGTGAAAGTATCAGTTTTTTTCTGTATGAAGTAATTAAAGAAGCTTCGCCTTTTTTATCGTTATTGAATACAGGGTCGAAGTATTATAATAATTATTGTTATTGTTATTATTAATGTTTGTTGTTGTTTTGAATTTCTGATGGTAATTTTTTTTTTTTTTCTTGTTAATAAGAAAATAAAAAAAAAAAAAGGAACGGGAGAAATTTGGTTTGCGATTAATTATAATAAATTGAAGGAATAAGAGGATGATGAAAAGAATAGTCAATACAAAAATGATTAGAGAAAAAAAATGCAGTGATTTATTGTCTGCTATCTTCGTGAACACAAAATCGGAACAGATTTCTTAGTTTAAATTATAAAAAGGAAAGCGTATTTTTAATTGTGCGATGTTGGTCTAGATCAATCAATGATGCATGTTATTTTGAGTCTATTTTAATTACGTATGATTTTGTTAATAAAGTTTTTCGTGAGGTAAATTATGCATAAGATAGATTAGACTTGTCGTAAAGTTTGAATAATTGTAAAGAAGGACGAGAGAATGGACTTTAAACATGCATGCATGCGTCTAAATATGAATGGGAGAGGAAAAAAGAGTGATTGAGAATCAATTTCTTGATGGATATTTATAAACAAAACTAAGAGACTAATGAAGGTCACACTGTTCATGAAGTGGCGAAAAAAAAAAGTTACAAATTCACCAAACTTTTTTCAGGGGAAAAAAAAGGAGATTGAGAAATAAGGCACTTATTTATATCGGATTTTCAATATCAAGGAAAAAAAAAATAAAAAAAATTTCATACAACACACAAAAGTTTTTGGCGGGGTATTGGTTGTGATTTTTTCTGCAATGTCAGTGCAACGTGTGTTGCGCTGTCAATGAATAACTCCTTCGTGTTTGTTTGAAAACTTCCCAGTCAAATGATCAGTGTCTTTAGAAGCAAAGGATCTTCAAGTAATTTTTGTCAATAGCCGGAAGCAAACTGGAATTTCGACGGAATCTCTGGCGCATACAATATTCTTAGTCTTTTTAGTTTCGGTAAGAGCATTTGATACCCCACACTCCCATGCACTGCCCAAAGTTTTACAAGTTTTATCTCGAGTAATTATTATTACACATGTTAAAGAAGGTTTATCCTTATTGGATTGCGTGCATTTATCCAGTATACAATATTCACGATATTATCACGTACCATGCTCCCAACATTTTTCACGAAAATCCACATCCACTTTGTCATGTGTAAAGATGATATACAAATATTGTTCCATAATTTCTGGTAAACATTCCAAAAATCTTTTTGAGACAATTCTCTTTTAATTTCGTTATTGTGTCTCATTAGATCCAGGTGTAACTATTAAATAGCTTTATTACTCATAGCGTTTTCTGTTGACACAAGAACTTGCGTTCTTGAATTCTTTAATTAATAGTCGTTTTGTTTTTATTGAATTCGGTTGTACCATTCACACAAACCGAAAAGGGTTATCCCCACCCGTGTAGCATTCTAGGGATCCCGCGTCTGCTCCATGATATATGCGTGATGATAAGTAGAAAATTTGACAGGTTGGAAACACGTACGAGAAAACATTGGGTGATCGACAATGTTTGGTTTTTTCGTCCTCTCTTTACCATAAATAACGTTCTTAAAACCGGATTAATACTTGAATATATTTAATAATTGTTATTCATGATATATAGTTCGTTACGATCAACATTTTTTTCTTGCTGTTGGGAATTTAGTTTTTCGATCTTCTTATAAAGATATTAACAATCTAATAACAAATTTAGGAATCCGCTTTTTTTTTTTTAATTCAAATCAGTTTTATGAATGCGAATCTGTGCGATCTACGATTCCAACCGACGAAATTCTTATACAAGTATTATGAAGAACCTGAATTCTTTGGTAATCCTTCTCAACGAGAGTTTGCCTCTTCATTTTTAACATTTATAGGGATATTCACCTCGTCGACTTCAGAGATTAAAGAAGGATATACCGAAAATATATATTTCGCCTTTAGATCCTGAAAAAAGGTTATTGATTTAGAACGTAGAAATCTAAAAAACAATATAAAGTCAACTTTTACCTGTTATTTGAATATTTATTCGAGGCCGAACATCTTCCGAAGATTAACGTTCCGATATTTTTAATCGGCCATAAGCATTTGTATTAATTCCTTTATTAGTTTTAATAAAGAAAATCCCGAAACTTCTCCCGCTAAAAACTTGGAATAACCTTAATCATACATAAATCGTTGAGAGTAATACAGTATTACCAAAGTATTAAAATATTCAATGTAGATTTTGCCTTTAAATAAGTACTTCAGCGTTCACATGATACCATTTCTTCCGACCTATATAATATTTAAGTGAAGTTCAAATGGTATTAATCTACCTGGTTCTATTATTAATTTCACTTTGTATTTTTTTTAGTATTTAAAATCTTTTATTTCTATAGTAACATTAATTATCCTAAAAATAGTTCTTTATTGCACAAATCAGTTTATTATGGTTGATATTTAAAATAAATCGGAAGAAAGTTTCAAAAAATTATAGATTGTATTAAATTTTGCATTAACAAGTCTTGTTATTAATTGTTATTGAATCATTTAAAAATTTTTAAAAAAATTTGATAATATACTGTATACTATTTATACTAATAAAAAAATTTTTTTTAAAAATTAATTACTAATACTTGAATTATATACTAGCTAAAGATAATTTATTTAACTTCATAAATATTATTATTATTATTATTATTTTAATAAATTTTAATTCTTTATTTAAATATAAATATGGGTAATTATTTTTGAAGGCGACAAAAATGCTAGATATGATTTTTTCAGATCCGACTTTTAAACAATACATATATAGTATAAATTTTAGGATCACCCCAGAAAATTTCCGGTCCGCCTTCGAAAATAATTACCCATATATAATATATTTATATTTATAAAAAAATCAATATTTTTAATTAAATTGAATTAAATGCTAACTTATTAAAATATCTATTAAAAAATCATATTAAATTAATATATTATCTAAATAAGATTTATCAAATTATATAGTTTAATTTTTTTTTTTTATAATCAAACAAGTATTTATGGTATTTATTTAATCTTAATATAGAATATATATTGGTTTCACAACTTTTATACACAAACTTTTAAATATAATACTTGAATATTTATCTTAGATAAAATTATCTTTAAATATGATCTTGAAAATAAAAAAAATAGTTTGTTTTTATATATTTGCTTTGAAATATATTTTGAAGTCATAGCTTGCAATTTATTACTATAGTTTGTTTTTTTAAAATCTTGATTACATTTTATATTTTTAATTGTTTTTTTTTTCTTTAATCTTGTAACATAAAATTTTTTTAAATTTTTCTGTAAGTTTTTTTTTTCCCTTTTATTGTCTAATAGATTCACTTAATTGGTTTTCTTATGGCTATAACTTAAGGATAATAAAAAATAATTCTTGAATAGTTTTTTTTTTCTTCTTATATGATTTATCAATTTTTTTTTCCTTAAATAAATTTTATGATCTTAATAATTTTAGTGATATTAATTCCTCTGTCTCTTTTTTTTTTTTTTTTTCAGATCTATATCTTAAAGATTGCTTGTATTCTTGAACTTTTTTATATCTGAGATTTCATATATATTATCTGAAAAGCTTGTATTATATTTTGAATATTTTTTTTTTTTTTTTTTTTTTGAGGAGCAAGTGGCTATCGCACTATCATTTATTATTATAATTTTAGACTTGCGGGTTACAAGA